TTGGTGAAGATTTGACGGTTCCATCCCCAAAAAGTTTTTGATTTGCGTTTCTGCTGAAATGAGGATGCATTATAATGTTGTATTTTAATCTTGTTTTTAAGTTGTATTTTAAAATTTTTTATATACCTGGTGTTAGCCACTGGGCAGGACAGGGGTCTAAATTATTATTATTTATTTATTTATTTGTTTGTTTGTTTGTTTATTTGTTTGTTTGTTTGTTTGTTTTTATTTCTGCCTGCACCTACCATTAGGTCTGGTTTAGTGAGAACGAAGGGCCCTGGAGATGACAGCAGTGATACAGTGGTACCTCAGGTTACATGTGCTTCAGGTTACAGACTCCGCTAACCCAGAAATAGTGCTTCAAGTTAAGAACTTTGCTTCAGGATAAGAACAGAAATCGTGCTCTGGCGGCGCGGCAGCAGCAGGAGACCCCCCCATTAGCTAAAGTGCTGTTTCAAGTTAAGAACAGTTTCAGGTTAAGAACGGACCTCCAGAACAAATTAAGTACTTAAGCCGAGGTACCACTGTATAGGGTTTTATTTATACACACATATAAATCCTGAGCTTAAGTTGGAAGGGCTTGCAGCATTTGATACTCCCAAAAGATTTTGCCCCTGACAATTAGGTTTCTAGGGAGGTTCCCAAAACCATAGCTTCGGATTCAGGACAGAGAGGAAGTCAAGCCTCTGGGTCTCATCCAGTGTGAGACAGGCCCCTAGTCTATTTCTCTCATATACCCCCAGCATCCAGAGCCGTTGGCCCATCGATTACCATGCTGAATCTCGGAAGATTCGTGAGAGACAGAAGGCTTTCCTTCGCTCAGCACACATTGGTCTCAACTAGGTACAGGGCCTTTTCAGTGCTGGCCCCGACTTGGTGGAACGCTCTGTCCCAAGAGACTAGGGCCCTGAGGGACTTGACATCTTTCCGCAGGGTCTGCAAGACAGAGCTGTTCCGCCTAGCCTTTGGTTTGGACTCAGTCTGACCCTTCTGTCTACCTCCCCTTATGGTTTTGATCTATGGGCTGCTTTTAAATAACAACAACAACAACAATTTATTATTTGTACCCCACTCATCTGGCTGGGTTTCCCCAGCCACTCTGGGTGGCTTCCAACAAAGACAAAAAATACACTAAGACGTCACACATTAATAACTTCCCTGAGCAGGGCTACCTTCAGATGTCTTCTGAATGTCAGGTAGTTGTTTATCTCTTTGACATCTGGTGGGAGGGCGTTCCACAGGCGGGTGCCACTACCGAGAAGGCCCTCTGCCTGGTTCCCTGCAACTTGGCTTCTCACAGGGAGGGAACCACCAGAAGGCCCTCGGAGCTGGACCTCAGTGTCCAGGCAGAACGATGGGGGTGGAGACGCTCCTTCAGGTATACTGGGCCATTTAAGGCTTTCAAGGACAGCACCAACACTTTGAATTGTGCTCGGAAACGTCCTGAGAGCCAATGTAGGTCTTTCAGGACTGGTGTTATGTGGCCTCGGTGGCTGCTCCCAAGTCGCCAGTCCAGCTGCCGCATTCTGGATTAATTGCAGTTTCTGGGTCACCTTCAAAGGTAGCCCCATGTAGAGCGCATTGCAGTAGTCCAAGCGGGAGATAACCAGAGCATGCACCACTCTGGCGAGGCAGTCCGCAGGCAGGGAGGGTCTCATCCTGCGTACCAGATGGAGCTGGTAGGCTGCATTTTAAATTGCATTTTAACCTATATTTTAAATTGGTAATTTTTAAACTGTAATTTTACTGGTGTTAGTCGCCCTGAGCCCGGCTTTGGCCAGGGAGGGGTGGGGTATAAATAAATAAAAAATATTATTATTATTATTATTATTATTATTATTATTATACCCTAGATGGCTTTAACGAGGTTGAGACAGATCCATGGAGGAGAGAGCTATCGATGGCGATGGGTTTCAAACAGGGGGCATTTTAGCCACTGTGGCCCATTTGCATGCAAAGAATGAGCTCAACCCCAGAGTTTTAGCCCTGCACTGACTTTTTGTTAGTCTTTATGGCGCCAAGCAAACTCTTTATTATCCAGGGATGCCCTTGTTTGGGTCGAAGGCCAAGCTGTTGCTCTCAAAACAGGTAGCTGCCTCCTTCTGCGCACCTGCTCTCAAACCCTGCCAGCCCTTTCCGCTTAAAGGAGCCCTCGCAGTTGGTCCTTTAATCTTCCCTAATCATTTGTTAATTAGGAGGTCACGCTCCTCCTGTTGGGAGTCCTGCTCACAGCTGCCACAGTCTATGTAATCCTCTCTAACCCCACTCCACTCCTGCCCTAACCTCCATCAGTATTTCACATGCCACAAGAAAAAAGGGAGGGAAGGAGGGAGGGAAGGAAGGAAGGAGAAAGAGACAAAGGCGCCTTACCTTTCTCGCCCTGATCTGGCCACAATGACCCATGCGACGGTCACCTCCAGCCTCGATTATCGCAACTTGCTCTACGTGGGGCTGCCCTTGAGACTGACCCAGAAACTCCAGCGGGTGCAGAATGCCGCAGCGAGGCTCCTTACGGGATCACATTCATCCAGTGCTTTACCAACTGCACTGGCTCCCGGTGGAGTACAGGGTCAGGTTTAAGGTGATGGTTTTGACCTTTAAAGCCCTAGGACCCATGTACCTACAGGACCGCCTCTCCCGGTATGCCCCGCGGAGGACCTTAAGGTCCACAAATGACAACACTTTGGAGGTCCCAAGTCGCAAGGTAGTTAGATTGGTCTCAACTAGGGCCAGGGCCTTTTCAGTACTGGCCCCGACTTGGTGGAACGCTCTGTCCCAAGAGACTAGGGCCCTGCGGGACTTGACATCTTTCCGCAGGGCCTGCAAGACAGAGCTGTTCTGCCTGGCCTTTGGTTTGGACTCAGTCTGACCCTTATGTTTCCCTCCCCTTATGGTCTTGATTTATCAGCTATTTTAAAGTGAGGCTGCATTTTAAATTTCATTTTAACCCGTATTTTAAAGTGGTCCCCCCCCATTATGTTTTTACTGTAATTTTACTGTTGTTAGCCGCCCTGAGCCTGGCTCTGGCTGGGGAGGGCGGGGTATAAATTATTATTATTATTATTATTATTATTATTATTATTATTATTATTATTATTATTATTATTAAAGAAGTTGCAGAGGGGAAGGAATGGCAGTGGAGTTTTTCCCCATCTCTCGAAGCCACCCAGCGAATAAACAACTACCTGACATTTAGAAGACATCTGAAGGCAGTTCAGGGAAGTTTTTAATGTGTGACATTTTAATGTGTTTTTAATCTTTGTTGGAAGCCGCCCAGAGTGGCTGGGGAACCCAGCCAGATGGGCAGGGTACAAATAATAAATTATTATTATTATTATAATATATTATATTAGTAATTCTGATTGCTAATTTCTGGAAACCACAAGAGGGGAGAGGGGGCAGGCCCCGCACTCAAATCTCCTGTGAAAAGAGGAACAGACATGGAATTTACTTCTCTGCAGCCCAGGAATTCTGTTGCCAGGCAAGAGCAAGTCAGATCAACAGTTTGACTGTTGATTGGCCTTATGGTCAATTCTGTTCCAGTCCTGCCTGTTTCATATGTTTAGCCCAGCTGCCTAGTGGGCAGAGATGGGGAGCCTCCAGCCCCCACCATCGGGTCCAGCCAGCCTGGCCCAAATTGCCTGGGGTGATGGGAGATGGAGTCCGGCGAACCCTGCAATCGCCCCATCCCTGTTTTAAAACCAGAAATTTTGTGCATGGCCCGGATGTGCCCCACGACAGAGCTATGCCCTTTATATTTTTCACCCAAGGCCAACCACCGCCCTGTTTCTTAAGGATGCGCCATGCAAGAGAGGGAAGATGGGCAAAGGACGGCAGGTTTGGGCGTGCGGTGGCAGCACAAGCAGAGACCGCAAGGGAAGACATTTGTAAGAAATCCACCTTTTAAGTGCAGAATTTACACTATGGAACTACCTGCCTATTGATGTCAGGCAGACGCCATCGCCGTACTTTTGGGTGCCTGCAAAAAAACGTTTTTGTTTAGACGACCCTCCTCAGACATGTAGACTGCTGCTTTTTGTTTTGACCCGTTCGTTGCTGATTTTGTACTTTGCTAAAATATAGTAGTAGTTCTTACTGAAAGTTCATCTCTTTATTCTGCTTGTAAACCGCTTTGGCTCTCCACAAAAAGCTCAATAACTTTGATGAAGCTTCCCCAAAAATAGCTGAACAACTCTGGTCAATCCAATGGGGAGATCACTGCCAAAAAAATTTTTTATGGTAGTTGTAGATCGCAGTCTCTTGGAAGTTGGACAGCCCTGTTTTATACAATCAAGCGGTATGTGAGGAATGGCTCAGCATGGGACTATTAATATAAATTTTATGAAACAAACAAATGGTAAGAGAGAAACAGGGATGCGGGTGGCGCTGTGGGTTAAACCACAGAGCCTAGGGCTTGCCGATCAGGTCAGCGGTTCGAATCCCCGTGACGGGGTGAGCTCCCGTTGCTCGGTCCCTGCTCCTGCCAACCTAGCAGTTCGAAAGCACCTCAAAGTGCAAGTAGATAAATAGGTACCACTCCGGCGGGAAGGTAAACGCCGTTTCCGTGCACTGCTCTGGTTCACCAGAAGCGGCCTAGTCATGCTGGCCACATGACCTGGAAGCTGTACGCCAGCTCCTTTGGCCAATAAAGTGAGATGAGCGCCGCAACCCCAGAGTCAGCCACAACTGGACCTAACGGTTTACCTTTTAAGAGAGTAACAGCAGGATTCTGGCATCATTTGCCCCAATTGTGTGAGTTTCCGTAGTCCTAGGTGTCGTTCGCTCTGGACACCTGTTGTTTGTGCAGGAGCGATCCACGCAGCTTCCATGTTTCCACCTGCCTCTCGAGTCCTCCATGTGGACTAGAGGCTTGTTTTGAAAATCGTGCACACACCCGCTGAGGCTTTTAAAGGAACTGGGTTCTACACGAGACGCAAACCCGATTATTAAGTTCTGCCCTTTTGCCACCGAGTGGAGAGAGAAGACTCAACAAGGGGAAGTTATAGACACTTCTGTAACAATTTATTGAATGAGGCAATAGACAGAATTTGGGGGAACAACAGATACTTCCATGCTCTGCTACAGGACTGCGGGTGGCTGGGAACGAGGATGGTTTATCTTTGGGTCTCGGGGAATAATGTCTCAGTCTATCGGAACGTTATTCCATTGCCAAAAAAGGAGAGAGAGGAAACACTGACTGTAAAGTCACACCTGACATCTTCACGACGACGATAAAAAATAATAATATTTTTAAAAAATTTAAAAAATTAAGTCAAAGACCTGGGCTTTTGTTTCTACAGGAAGGATCCCCTCCCCTCGATTTAAGTCCGGGGTGTTGGTGGTGGGGGACGGTGATTATGCATTTGAGATTTTCTGTTTTTTAAAAAAGCCAAGTAAACACAAGAATCTGGGAACAGCAAAACCCTGCCCTGAAAGGTTGGGACAGACAAGGAGAGGTGTGGTGAATGGGCCGTGTAAAAGAACGCAAAGAACGAAACTAATTGCTGCGTACTATCCCCAGCCAGAAAGGGTGCTTGAAATAGGAAAATAAGAGAGTGATTCTACCTGTGAGGCAACAGCAGCCGTTTGCTTAGCTGGGGCCAGTGAAAGCCTTGGCCCTGTCTAAGAGTTAAAAACAGCTATCAAAAAATGCCTGGGGGAGACGTGAGGGGGGGCAGCCCTCCCTGAGCCCCCATTCTGGGGCGGGGGGCTATCACCTTTCTCTTTGCCAACTCCGCACAGGGACTGCGGGTGCCCAGCCTCGCTGGCCAGGTCTTTTGTAGACGTGCAGACCCTGGGCCCCTGCATGGCGCAACATGGCAGCCGATGTCGAGTTTGCAGCCCTGGGGCCACGGTGGGAGGCCTTCGTCGACACGAAGGGGATGTGCGCAGCTAGGGCCATGGGGTGGGTCTCCAAGGGCTCCGGACAGCCGCCACGAGAAAGGGGTCTTTGGATGGGCCGCCGCCCCAGGTGCAATTTGGAGGAGAAGGGATCGGGGGAAGGAAATCGAAGTGAGAATTGTGGGTGGGGTCTAGTGTGCGATCTGAAGCCCTTCGCCACCCGAACTGCCACTGAAGGCTGGGATCTCAGCCACGTGGCCGATGAGAGCGTGCTTAAATGCCACCCTTGTCCCTTCGCAACACCCAGCGGGGCCTTTCTACTGGTGGCTCCCTTGTGCCTTTCCGAACTTGTCATTCCAAGGGAGGAGAGTCTAAAACAAAAATGCACGCAGAAATTCACCAGTAGGGAAAGGAGGCTTTGGAGGGAAGGCTTTGAGCATGGACTTAAAAAGCGAGGACAGAATCTCCTTCAACAGGTCACCAAATAACTTTGGAAGGAAGGAACGGAGGAGGAACAGTCCCTCCATCCTGACAGGATCCAGAGTCAACGGATTGCAGCCCTCGCTGTCTCCCGCAGGACTTTTCTTACCCTTTCAACGCCTTTGCGAGGAAAAAAGAGGAAGCCTCTTTCCCCAATTTGTCTTCTCAAGCCTTGCTTTCTCTATCTCTCTCTTTTAAAATATATGTCCATGTTAAAATGATACCTAATTCTCGACGCGAGGAAGGCGGAGGAGCCTGGCTTTGTGGGGGTCTGCCGGGCCAGGAAAGCCTGCAGGGAGCCCCACCGCGGACCCCGCCTCCCCCCCCCAGCAAGCCCTGAAAAGAGAGGGCTATAAACCTTTTCCGCCACATCTCACCCCGGCTTTGAGAAAGGAGGGTCCATGCAATGGGAGACGAAGGCTTGGCCCAGCCTGCCCCAAACAGGCTTCCTTGCTTTCGCGAGGCCCGAGAGGAGCTGTCAAAGTCACGGCTCCGAAATACACCCTGTGTGTTTGTGTGTTGTTGTTGTTTTTTCCTGTTTGTTAAACGAAACCTTTTTTTTTTGCTTCCAAAGCTGCGAGACTCACAAATGCCACCTGATTGCGCCTCCGCAGAGGCGTAGAAAAAAAAACTATTCGCACAAGGGAGGAGGAAGCTGCTGCAGCGCCATGATCCTGCCGCTCTCGCCCGTCACTGCTCCAGAGTCACCACCTCCACGGCCTGGCCGTCCATGGTGACGGTGCTGTCTGTTATCCTCGCGGCCACGGGAGCCATGGCGACCTGGACCGGGCCGTTGCCCTGAGCAAGGCTGGTGACCACTGTCTGGTACATGCTGACGGGGATCTGGACGAGTCCTGCAGAGAAAAGAGAGAGGGTCAGGCGAGGCTGGGCAAGGCGCTGAGTCAGTTCCTGCGATCATGGAATCATGAGAGTAGGACGGGACCCCGGGGGGTCATCTAGTCCAACCCCCCTGGCAAGGCGAGAATCCTGTCCCTCTGACAGGTGGAACGCCCAACCTCTGCTTAAAAACCTCCAAGGGAGGAGAGTCCATTCTTCCTGAGGTTAAGTTGGAATCTAATTCCCCATCCTGATGAAGAGAGCACAGCAGAGGTTATATTTCCTGAGAATCCTCCGGAAAAACAATCTCTCAAAGGACCTGTTGATGGCATTTTACCATTGCACTGTGGAGAGTGTATTAACTTATGGTCTGTGTGTGTGGTTTGGGAGCTGCACGGTCAGGGAAAAAACAACGCTGTCCAGGGTTGTGAAGACTGCGGAGAGAATAATTGGGTGCCTCTTCCCACCTTGGATCAAATCTATGCTTCCAGGTGCCATAAGAAAAGCGGCAGAGAATAGGCAGGATAGTGCGCACCCTGGAAATGATCTCTTTCAGCTTCTGCCTTCTGGAAGAAGGTCCAGGGTTATAAAAGACTAGGACTAGCCGCCTGAGAATAAAGATTATCATATCGTATCATATTTTGAACCCCACTGGTTTGGGTCCGACCCTCCCAGAGCAGGAGAAAAGAGGCTTGCTCCAAATTCCATGGGGCAGCCCTTGAGATATTTGAAGATGGTTAGCATATCTCCTCTCAGCCTCCTCTTTCCCAGGCTAAAACATCCCCAACTCCCTCAACCGTTCTTCATCAGGCTTGGTTTCCAGACCTGTGATCATCTTGGTTGCCCTCCTCTGCACACCTTCCATCTTGTCAACCTCCTTCTTAAATTGTGGTGTCCAGATCTGGACACAGTATCCCAGGTGTGGTCTGACCGAGGCAGAATAGAGCGGGACTATGACTTCCCTTGATCTGGACACACTAGACTTCTGTTGATGCAGCCGAGAATGGCATTCGCTTATTTTGCTGCTGATTTTTGAAAACACCTGAGAGCAAAAAGGGACCCATCTTCTGCCTATAAAAGAGAGCTGTTGAGCCCCTTTGCCCAAAGACTAGTCCGGGTGGATGATTTTTAAGCCCAATGACCGCCTTCCCTTCTGGGTGACCTTCTAAGGACCACATGCAACAATTGTGACTTTGCGCAACAGGTTAGATACGACACACCCACACACCCCTCTCTATCCTCAATAGACAAGCAAGAGGCTCTATTATTATTATTATTTGTGGCTGAGTGGGGATTCGAACCCTGGTCCTAGACTGTCACACTTGAGCACTGCGCAGAAAAGGCTCTCATTACAAACATGTAACTCACTCTACGTGGGGCTGCCCTTGAGACTGACCCAGAAACTCCAGCGGGTGCAGAATGCCGCGGCGAGACTCCTTACGGGGTCCTCGCTGCGAGATCACATTCACCCGGTGCTATACCAGCTGCACTGGCTCCCAGTGGAGTACAGGATCAGGTTTAAGGTGCTGGTTTTAACCTTTAAAGCCCTATACGGCCTAGGACCCTCGCACCTACGGGATTGCCTCTCCTGGTATGCCCCGCGGAGGACCTTACAGTCTTCAAACAAAAACATCTTAGAGGTCCTGGGCCACAGGGAGGTTAGGCTGGCCTCAGCCAGAGCCAGGGCCTTTTTGGACGTGGCCCCGATCTGGTGGAACGCTCTGTCCCAAGAGACTAGGGCCCTGCGGAACTGGACATCTTTCCGCAGGGCCTGCAAGACGGAGCTGTTCCACCAGGCCTTTGGCCAAGGCACAGTCTGACCCCCCTCCTTTGGTAACCCTCATAGAACTCTAGCCCAATGGTTGCCATTAATTTGACTCTGAATTGATTTTAGAATGAAATTTAGAATGCATTTCAATTAATTGCTTGTGATTTTATGTAAACTGTGTTACTTTTATTGTTGTTAGCTGCTCTGAGCCCAGCTTCGGCTGGGAAGGGCGGGATATAAATAAAATATTATTATTATTATTATTACTATTATTACATCTTTAGCAAAAAATTCTTGGGTTTAGGAAGCGGAATCCCTGAGCCCCAGGCTCTGAAGGAGGGGCAAAGTGAGTCTGCCGCAGACCTCGGATTTCATTCCTGAAGGTCAACGTTTAACAGCAGGAGGAGGAGAAGGCAGAATGTGATTTGAGTGTCCTCGTATCACTTTGCTGGGCAGACAGCGAAGCTTAAGCCTTAAGCGCTCTGACCTGGTATCCGAGGCAACTCCAAATTGGGCAGGCCTGAGCCCTGCCTGGTTGCTCTTTCTTGGATAATCGTGGCGCCCTTGGGCACCGCCAGGTGACACCACCTTCTCCCCAGAAAATCAGGTAAAAGAAGTAGCCTGTCCGAGACAGACTCACGGAGCGGGGGCGCTGCTCTTTCAAGCCCCGCACCGCACGATAAATCAGCAGCAGAACTAGAAAAAACATGCTAGGAAACTTTAGGCCAGGGGTCAGCAAACTTTTTCAGCAGGGGGCCAAGTCCACTGTCCCTCAGACCTTGTGGGGGGCTGGACTATATTTTGGAAAAATAACAATGAACGAATTCCTATGACCCACAAATAACCCAGAGATGCATTTGAAATAAAAGGACACATTCTACTTATGTAAAAACAAGCTGACTGTCTGCAGGCCGGATTTAGAAGGTGATTGAGCCGGATCCGGCCCCCGGGCCTTACGTTTGCCTACCACTCCTTTAGGCCAAAACATTTTCAGAAATGAGCGCCAGGGGAAATTTGCAAGCGGGTTCCTATTTCCCCCAGGGTCAAGCTATGCAATATATCCAAGATCTCTACAGTTCGTCAAGCAGCAGCGATGGGAGTGGGGTGGTTCGATCGAGAGACTTCTGAAACTTTTTAGTTTAGAGAAATTGCGAGGAAGAGGTGACGTAATAGAAGTTTGTAGAGTTAAGTCTGGCTTGGAGGAAGTGGATGGAGTAAAGTTTCTCTCCCTCTCTCTCTCATTATGCTAGAATTCATGGGCATCCAATGGAGATGAATGTGGGAAAATTCAGGAAAGGTTAAAAAAAAAATATTATTTACACGACGCATAGTTAACCTATGGAACACACTGCCACAAGAGGCAGGGAAAGCTGCCAACTTGGATGGTTTAAAAAGAAGATTTGCCTAATTTGTGGAGAGGGCTGTCAAAAGACTCCTAGCCACGACGACCCCTCTCTGCCTCCACAGTCGGGGGCAGATGTGATTCTGAGTCCCAGCTGCTGGAAACTTCCAGAGAGGAGAGTTGGTCTTGTGTTCGAATTCTGCTTGCAGGCATCTGAGAGCAGGACGCTGGACTAAATGGGCCATGATCTAGCAGGAACACCTTATGTTATCATGAGATACCGTATTTTTCGCTCTCTAAGACGCACCAGACCATAAGACACACCTAGTTTTTAGAGGATGAAAACAAGAAGGGGAAAAAATATTCTGAATCTCAGAAGCCAGAACAGCAAGAGGGATCACTGCGCGGTGAAAGCAGCAATCCCTTTTGCTGTTCTGGCTTCTAGGATAGCTGCGCAGCCCGCATTCGCTCCATAAGACGCACACACATTTCCCCTTACTTTTTAGGAGGGAAAAAGTGAGTCTTATAGAGCAAAAAATACGGTAGTTATTTTTTTTCCTCCTAGTGTTAAGATTCCCAGGGAAAATCATCACCTCCTCCCCCCCCCCATTCTGAAGCTGCCCTTTCCCCTAAAAGGAAAAGAAAAACTTATTTGTACAGGGAACTTAGGAGAAACCTTTCTCCATTGGCCATGTGTTCATCCCCTTCCCTCCTCCCCTTGCACTGATCCAGTTCAGGCATAGGTAAACTCTGGCCCTCCAGATGTTTGGGACTACAATTCCCATCATCCCTGACCACTGGTCCTGTTAGCTACGGATGATGGGAACTGTAGTCCCAAACATCTGGAGGACCAGAGTTTGCCTATGCCTGATCCAGTTGGTTACTCCCTGGCTTGATCAAACCATAGTTTACTGTTACATCTCAGCCTTCCAAACTGTCTCAACTGAGCCAGTCAGTGACTTTTGTTAGAAACGGGCCTCCGTACCAGCTATACATGCCAGGAAGCAAAAGATGGACCTGTTGCTTTGCGCAGAAAACCTTGGTTTAGACATTAATTTAAAAAAATAAAAAAATAAAAATTATTATTTATACCCCGCCCATCTGGCTGGGTTTCCCCAGCCATTCTGGGCGGCTTCGAACAGAACACTAAAATACAATAACCTATTAAACATTAAAAGCTCCCCTAAACAGGGCTGCCTTCAGACGTCTTCTAAAAGTTTGGTAGTTATTTTTCTCTTTGACATCTGGTGGGAGGGCGTTCCACAGGACATGATCTATAGCAAGCCGTCTTAAAAACCAAACTACTTTTTTTGTAATTTAAAAATACTGACTACACTCCAGAGCTGGCTGTTAAAACTTGCCAATGCTCTAAACTCCTACCTGCTAAACAATTCAGATCACAGAATCAATCAATCAATCAATCAATCAATCAATCAATCTCCCATCTTCTTCTCCCAGGAGCTGAAGCTGGTATAAATGGCTCCTCCGCTCCTCATTTAACCCCCACAACAACCCTATGAGGTTGGTGAGGCTAAGAGGCAGCGACTAGCCCCCAAGGTTACCCAGTGAGCTTCACAGCCAAGTGAGGATTCGCACCCTGGTCTCTCCCAGGTCCACGCTGGCATGCCGAGATCAAGCACGTTGCAGAAAGATGTGAGGAGGGGGACAACTCTGGAGGAAACGAAACCGAAGAGCCAAGCCAGAATGCAATGGTACACTTCTATACGCTAATTCAGTTAAAATCAGCAGAAAACTAAATTTGGGGTTTGCTACAAACATCAACAACCTCATAATGTTTTGGACTACAACTAGGGCTGCCGGTAGTAATCTCAAACCATTTGGGAGGAGGGTACCAAGTTGGTAAGACAGGACGCAGGTGGCGCTGTGGGTTAAACCACTGAGCCTAG